GTGATTGTGACTTGATTAAAGCCATTCTGGTCTTATGTCATTATTAATGGTCAAAAGGGCAGACAATTCTTTGGAGTTCAGTTCTGGGTATGAATTATCCCTCAGTTGTATGGAACTAGGTTCTCGGCAAAGGTCATTATCAGAAATACAAGTATAAGTCAATGTTGCGGACTTTAGACGGATGAAGAAAGGATCCAAGATGAAGAAAAACACATTCAATTATAGAGTAACATTTATTTAACAAAGTCAAAGAGTTTTATTTAAGGAACTGGTATCAATCAGAATGATTATTCAAACTTCTTTGTAGCAGTCGGCTGCGCTACCAGGATTAGTGGCTGAGTTATACCACTTGCCTGTTACAATATTTATCACACGATATCACTCTCAACCATTGGTGTATCTATCGGAAATAAAATTCAAAGATATGCAAATTTGACAAATTACTGTTTGTGTTATATACTAGCAAAACGAAATGTTAACAAATATGTGCTTAACGCTTCACTGAAGTCATATATAGTTAATGACGATACGCAAGTGAAAATTGTTAAAAAAAAACACACAAGAAAAAGTTAAGTTAACCGACCGGGTCAAAAGAGAAGCAAAGGAGAACGAAATTATCAAACTCTTAAAGCCGGACTTGAACTGCATTCAATAGGTGTATACAACCTAAATGATATTATGCCCCTTTATCATCTATGACGTCACGAATAAGTGGACAATACACATGACGTCATAGATTCTTTGCATAGTTACATTGCACTTACGAGCAGCTAAGCTGTGAAAATGCTTAACTTTTTCTTGTGTGTGTTTTTTAAACAATTTTCTTTATATATATATATATATTGTTAAATCATTAACACTTGCTGTTGTACATTTCAAAATAAAGTTTTATCTTACGGTAACTGCATTGAGACTTAGTTATACCTCCATATACCTCTTGTAGTACTTCTATTATGAAGAACGGTAAACAAGAAATAACAACTATAGTGTCCGTGCTAAAATATTCAAAGGCACATATATGGTGTCAATGTTTCCATCGTGTCAAAAGGCATTAGTCTACATGCTATCCGGAATCATCCAAATCTATGGCAATAACATTGTGACAAATAGCATTGTCACCTTTAGATTTAGGGCACACGTAGTGGAACTCAGTTCATTTCAACTTCAAATACGACTAGGACACGTGAATACAGATATAATTAAACGTTGTATTCTGCGTGTTTAAAATGATCAAAAGTACATGTAGATAAAGTACAAACAGATAAATATGTTCATGGGGAAGAGACAAAGCCAATAAAACAGTGTCGTAAACACGCGTGCTCTCTTGCGAGTCCAAGCTCTGTCTGCTAACACAAAGGAACACTACTCACGCATGAATCCTCGTACATCATTGGGTGGCAATTTGTTTTATTTCTGTTTAAATACATGGGAATTCATATATATCTGTCATTAGATTACTCTTCAGCTCATCATATACAGTGCAAACGTCAATTTCACTTATCAGCAACGTCAATCACTGACAAGAAATGCACCCTCAACAAATAGTTGTAGACCTGTAGCTGTGATAGTATAAATAAAAATTATCATTTAGTGGCACCGAATAAAATTGAAATTAAATAAGTATTGATAAGTGGTCATGCTTTTCATGCACAATATATTGGTAAAATGTGACTCGTATATCTGTTAAGTTCAAACAATCAAAGAAAAAATGTTATGCTGTTTCAAATCTGAAGCCACATGATCAAGCGTTGCTTAATGGTTTTTATGGAGGTCATTGTTTAAATTGCTACGACAGCTTCTTAATTGGCATGCTATACGAATTTCTTTCTGTATCTGTAATTTGGGTGTTTAAGATTTTCTTTGTAGAAATTAATTCGATTTTAGAAAGGGAACAAACATTTTGTTAACATGAAGCAATACTGTTGAATTCATTAGAACGTTGACTGTTCGACAAGATGGGAGATAAAATATTCAAACAATAGAAAGATGTTATGTAGAGAGCGTTCAATCATTCAGTTTTGGCTCAATTAATTCTTCCAGATAGCATCTGTCTGCTCATTTATAAAATTCATACATCTTTACAAATCTATATTATTTTATGGAAAATGAAGGAAGCATTGTGCTTTTTTAGTTATTAATACAGACCGTGGCGTTTTCTGCGTTCGGAGCACACGAAATAATATGATTACTACGATTTCCTATAATTTCATGTGTGCGGTTGTGTGGTTGTAGGTGGTTTGCTTTAAGAGTAATAATTTTATGTTGCATGTCACAATATGCCTGCTTAAAAGTGCCTCCTTTATTTGATATCTGTCATTTCAACAGAAACTTCAACAACAGCAAACAAATGTTTATTTATAGACAAATTTTTGTACAATAAAGGTTCTCACGCATACTTAGGTTTTATGTGCACGATGTTTCAGTTTATATGTAAATGTATGTATAGTAATTCAGTCAGGTAATCACCGATTGATAAATATAATTGGCTCCTGTGGGGCTTCGGTGATCCAAGTTTGTCGGACCAGGAGTCAGTTTGCCCTTGCGGGGCTATTCAAAACCCCACTTCAGCAGCATTTTTCAGAAACTTCGATGCTATATTGATTTTTTAATTTTCTCTACAAGTTTTCTTCTTATTTGCACCCTAACTTTATTATTCACCTGGATTTATTTTACAACACGTCCCACCAACCACCCCATGCTACCTCCCTTCAATTGGTATGTGTGAGTTTTTATTTTTTATCTTCCAAGTTTGAGACCGACTATGTTTGTAAAGATAGTTCTTATAAAATTTTGTGTATATAACACACTTAGTTTGCAAAGGTAGTTTTCATCAAGATGTATTTATGTGTATATAATTATTATTATTAAAATAGTTATTCACAAGAGATATGTATGTATATTAGATAAGCAGAGTCCCAGCGCTTCCATTTTGGTCATTTTGCCTATCTGCCGGGCGCAGGTTTCCTCTCGGAGGTTTTTTCCTGAAGTGCACTATGATCGCGAAGACGGTGTTAGAAAGTTTGGTGTTTACTCGAACGTAGGCTTAGTTTCGCTCACCTTTTCTCCAAATTAGTTATGAAATATTTATAGGTACATGTTAATTAAACTAGGTTAAAATAAATGGTTTCCCTACTCTAAAAAAAGGATATGCCAAGATTTTACAGCCAATTTGATTGTTTGGTATTCTTTTCTTGACATTTAGAGTAAACAAAACTCGAGGTATGGATTATTTCTTTTATACTTTAGCAGGACAAAAATGATGCATTAACTGTCTTAGAGCTCTTTAGATACAACTTTTCAGATTCTTGAATCGCAGGATTCAAATAGCCTACCCATTGGCGACTACTATATAGACTTTACCACTCTAGCAATCAAGGTTATTCTTCAACAAACGAAATCAGATTGTATCAAATAACCAATATACACCTATAACTATTTCGAAGGACACTCGGATATGAATTTTGGTGAGTCTTGTTTAACCTTGTTTAATATGAATGGATTTCGATCAAATGTCGACTATCGACATCATGCATCTGTTTCTTCGTCGTTAACTAGATAATTGGCCAATCGATAACTTTGCTAAATATTAATGAATGTCAAGAGGGTTCGGTTTGACATGTGCATATTTACAATCCTCTAGCGTATCCTTTGTCGCCTTACGAATTAGAAATTGCAAGCTTGTGGGAACTGTGATATGTGATAGTGAATTTTATGTTACATCCTTCTGCTCTCTTAAGTTGATTCCTCTCTTAACTAAAATTAATCTTTTATGATCTTTCAAAACCGTAAATTGCTAAGTCACATGTAACGATTTATTTCCTCCTACATTGTATGATATATTAATGCACATAGAGGCATCGGTTTGCCTGCGTCCATTATTTACTTACCTAAATATGTCAAACACAACACATAACAGTGCATATTATCAGTGTGGTGTCGCTCCAAAATCAGGTTTAAAGAGATATCAAAATTATCAAGTATGAGCTGTATTAAGTATCAGTGTATGAAACTTCCGCTGTTAAACTTATTTTGTAGCGTACTTACCTCATGTTGGTAAATTTCAATGGTAAGTTAAATTTTCAGCCATCCTGGATTGAAATCGTGGGTGCACTTTATGTAGCAAAGCCTGGGTATTTTACGCCTCAATAGATCCGTCTAATCAGTGAAACGTCCTATCAGTGGGGTGTTCCCGGACAGGGCAATAGGTAGAAACACCAAAGGGAGGGTAGTTATAGTCTGTTTCATATAGGTACTGTATTTACCCGAGATATTTTACCTGTGGATCTACCTGTAATTTTTACTTTTTACTGCAAAGTTACATGAAGGTCATTAGTTACAAATATTAAAAAAAGTAACATTAATAATAACTTCACAGAAGAAACTTAATCACAGCACTAAAAGTTCAATTTAATGCTCTACACAGTATCGTCTATGCTGATATGCTCTAAAGTCCACAGTTCAACCCAAGTGCAGGAGTTGGGATGCTGCATCGGCGTAGGTCATGATGTCGATTATTTTTTCCTCCAGTCTCTGTTTCAGTAGGGCAAGGCGAGCGTCATTGTTTCTGTACTTCTTGGGCCGAGGTCGTTTGGTTCCTCGCGCGTCGCTGAAGTCTTGTGATCTCGTTGGTGGCCTGGATGTCCGTGAAAATCTGTATGATGATGAAGATGTTTGGATGGGCATGGTGTACCAGCTTCTTAAGCTTTCCGTGCCAGGTCTCCGAGTGGTTTGTAGTGCGTGGTCCCTCAAAGTGGTTCCACACTGGTCTGTCTCCGTCTATCCACTGGTCAACAACTTAGTCTGTAAATGGTGTAACATCAGCTGGTAGGTCGGCGTGTTCAATGTCCTCTAGAGCTTGGAACAATACATCCTCAACTTGGTGCAGGGGTATAAAAGGCAAAACAGTTGTCATGGTTGGGAAGTTGCAGTCCAGTCGTCTGTGCCTTTTGCCATATGCATTGTGTAAAATGAAAAAAAAAATCCTTTGATGCTGGTTCCAGGGAAGACGGTGCTTACGGCGTTGTGGACAGCTGTTTCGAAGTAGACGAATACAGTTGATGGCATCATGGGTATGTTGTTGTCTGTCATAAACGTCGGAAGAAGCGTGAAGAATCTAGTGTAGATGTGTTGGCTTTTTTCCGGGTAGAAGGGCGTATACTACTGGGTACATGGATCCGTCTAACTCGATGTGGATGGTATATATCTGATGGAAGAGGCTGGGCAGGTATAGAAGGTTCCATCGCAGTATATCTTGTCGGCTGCAGCGAGGTCAGCTAAGTCCTCTGATGTAGCAAAGACGAGGATCCTACATTGGTCACAATTATCAATCTGTAAGAAGCGGTCCCCAGTAGTGGTTTCGGTCCATCGTCCACTAAGGCAACAATGCTAGCGTGATATCCTGTGTGGTTGTGTAGATGTCGTCCGACTCCTACTATGGTGTTGTTGCGGGTATTGGCAGTAGCAAGACAGGTGCTGATAGTACATCACCAGTAAGTTCTGAAAGGAATAAAAACAGATTTCAATTTTGATATCAGTAAGCCGGTTGTTCATAACAACCACAACTCTCCGCTTTTTTGTATGTATTTTAACCGTAATAGCTTGAACATTCAACAACGTTCAACAAATTCGATCATTGACAGCAGGTCATATGATTCTCATTTTGTCATATCAGTTGAAGTTTAAAAAACCAAAAAGAATCGTATTCAAATCCAAATTTAATACAAGAGGCCCAGAGGGCCTGTATTGCTCACCTGGATCTTTATGACCAACACTACTATATCTGTTTATATGTTCCACATTTAACACATTTGACCCCTGTGACCTCGACTATGGGTCAAGGTAATTTCTTTTTGCAAACTTTCTTGGACTTCATAAAAGGAACATACTGGCAAAATATAATGATTCTAGGCTTTTCGATATTTCAGAATAATTGTTTCAACGTTTTAACACATTCGACACCGGTGACAATGCAGATTGGTCAAGGTCATTAACCCCAGCCAACTATACAGTATAACACTAACACCAGGCTTCTATACAGTATAACACTAAAACCAGCCTTTTGTATACAGTTTAACACTAACCTAAACCTTCTATACAGTATAACACTAACACCAGCCTTTTGTATACAATTTAACACTAACCCAAGCCTTCTATACAGTATAACACTAACACCAGCCTTCTATATACAGTATAACACTAACACCAGCCTTCTATATACAGTATAACACTAACACCAGCCTTCTATATACAGTATAACACTAACACCAGGCTTATATATAGTATAACACTAACACCAGGCTTCTATATACAGTATAACACTAACACCAGGTTTCTATACAGTATAACACTAACACCAGGTTTCTATACAGTATAACACTAACAGCAGCCTTCTATTCAGTATAACACTAACACCAGGCTTCTATACAGTATAACACTAACACCAGCCTTCTATATATAGTATAACACTAACACCAGCCTTCTATATACAGTATAACACTAACACCAGCCTTCTATATACAGTATAACACTAACAACAGCCTTCTACATACAGTATAACTAACACCAGCCTTCTGTATACAGTATAACACTAACACAAGGCTTCTATATACAGCATAACACTAACACCATGTTTCTTTACAGTATAACACTAACACCAGCCTTCCGTATACAGTATAACAGTAACACCAGCCTTCTATATACAGTATAACAGAACACTAACACCAGCTTTCTATACAGTATAACATTAACACCAGCCTTCAATATACAGTATTACATTAACACTAGCTTTCTATATACAGTATAACATTAACACCAGAATTCTATATACAGTATAACATTAACACCAGAATTCTATATACAGTATAACATTAACACCAGAATTCTATATACAGTATAACATTAACACCTGCCAACTATACAGTATTACACTAACACTAACCTTCTATACAGTATAACATTAACACCAGCCTTCTATATACAGTATAACACTAACACCAGCTTTCTATATACAGTATAACACTAACACCAGCCTTCTATATACAGTATAACACTAACACCAGCCTTCTATACAGCATAACACTAATCCCAGCCTTCTATACAGTATAACACCAACATCAGCCTTCTGTATACAGTATAACACCAACACCAGCCTTCTGTATACAGTATTAATTTCCTCATAGTAACTACTCGAAGTGTCATATTCCCAATGTGAAGGGGATCGAAAATTTTACTGGGCATGTGATTCACAGCAGGGATTACAGGACGCCGGAGGTTTACCAGAGACAGAGAGTACTGATTCTTGGAGCGTCATTCTCCGGTCTGGACATAACGTTCGATTTATCAAAAAATGCTGCACAGGTGAGGCTGATAAAATTAAGGAAAGGTTTGTTATTTCATTGTTTTTGATAATTTTATAATCAATATTTTGTTTGATTCAAACAGATTTACTTATTTTGTCTTTTGCAAAATCTGCTGATGGTTTTCAGTGCACGAAGTTAGCCGTAACCTATATGCAAAGGTATGATTGTGATAGCGCTATGGTTCAGAACATGTATATCCGATATTGAGTGAAAAATATGAAAGTGAACAATGCAGCTACATTTATACCTTTAATTAACTACGAGGCGACTGGTAACGCTCAAAATTGATAGAGCGAAACATTATAATCTCAATGGGGAGACACAGTGGCCGCACACTGAACTTACTGAATGATAATGACACTAGCGCACCTCCATATCTTCATTTTGACATTCACTGACGAGTGCTAGAAGGACGAAACAGGTGTATGATGCAGTTAAACTCATATATGGCTCTTTTTTAATTCTAAATTAGTTCTCATTGGTTTCATTTGCGCAATCCTTCATCATTGATAAATTCGTTATGTTTCTTAATAAAACCAGAACATGGCACGAGGGATTTTAAACGAAAGATCAACCGGCTCAAAATCTCGCTGGTTGCAATGAGAAATGAGGAACAAATTAGGTAGTTATGATGAATATAGTGTTGTGAGTATTTTCATCCTATTATTATAATCTATTGTTTATTCATTCACTGCAGTCAATGCTTTACATGAAAATTTATGAAGTTATGACAGAGCATGCGCAGTATTGCAAATTGTATATTATCAATCGCAATACAAAATGAACTAGACATTCTATGAAATAGTTATGAAAAAACCCACGTTAGATAATTTATTTCAGAAAAAAATATCATTATTAAACATTTGTAAGTTCTAACATCACTTCCGAGACCATTCTCGGTCCCCATCGGCTGTCAAGCTTGTGAAACAAAAGGCAGTAACTCTGCGAGATGAGAATGTTTCCAGACTGACTCGGAAATTGCCTTCAACGATAAATGAATCACTGTGTAACTCATCGATATCGCGATCTGTAATGTGATGTAAAGAACGAAATGTAATGTTAGATTATCAAATCTTCATGTTTCCTGGTTTTGTTATGGTTTTTGTTTCTTCTTTCGAGAAAGACATTTCCGTAATATTACAAAGTGGGATATTCATAAAAATGAGTATATTGATGAAGTGACATTTTAATAAATAAGTTATATATCATTTATTATCATATTTATTCATTAATTTTGTTTTTAAAATCTCCCCTTTTAAGAAGTCAAGATAGGAATGCACGTTTCAACTAACCAAAGTAGGATCAATTTACAATGCGTGCCTAAAAGTGCAGCGGTCGGGTATCACACGAACTCTGAGTATGAAATGCAGGCAAACTATATATAACACTGCAATAAAACTAATGTTGAATTTGTCAGTGGGCTATCGTTCACCTTTATACTTGTCGGAGTATCCCAGAAATATCGCGAGAGCCATTAAGTTATATATATTTAAACATCAAAGTAATCGGTAAGATCAGACATTACCTTCATATTCATACACAGGTCCTAAATGATAAAGAATTGATCAGTCATCAAGCGACAGATGGAATGATTCGTCAGTTTATCGAAGACGTATCCGCGTGAGAATAGAAAATATCTATTAGCATACATAATATGATGAAATGCATTTTAAGTCTTTATTTCCATTTTATTTTAAAGATTTACATCGGACATAGGAAAGATAAAATGCAAATTAAGTTACCAGCAAACGTATCAGAACGTCCGGATGCGAGTCATCTAGATGTTGGAATCAAGGTCGTATTTTTAGATGGATCCGAAACGGAGGTTGACAGTATCATATTCTGCACAGGTTACAGTTATGATTTCCCATTTCTGGCTGATGACACCATACAAGTAAAGGATGAAAGGATTAAACCCCTGTATAAGCATTTAGTACATATCAAATACCATAATCTATTCTTCGTAGGAATTACGCGTCATGTGAGCTACTTTATGCAGGCACACGAACAAGCCAAGGCGGCAGTTGCTATTCTGAAAGGTGGAATCCAATTACCATCGGAACAGGCGATGTTGGAAGACGCCGAGCGAGAATTCCAACAGAAGAGACAAGATTACGGCATGTCCCATTTACATGCGCATTACTTGGGAATGGGTGATCTGGAGTGGAAATTGAACAAAGATCATGCAGAATTATGTGGTTTTGAACCATTACCCCCAGTTTTGAAAAGCATAATGGAACATGTTAAAGAATCTAGATCTGCTGATTTTTGTAACTTCCGCAAGAAAAATTATTTTTTCAAAGATGCTCAACACTTCGGTGTCATTGATTGAAATATGAACAAAACTTCCCGGCAACGTGAAGACATATTTTGGCTCAACTATGCTGGACTTACAGAAAAAATAATCAGCATATCAGTTAAAAGTTTATACTATGTCATTGTAACGTCGATGTTCCATTTGAAGGCGTTATCAGAGTCCTAGCGAACTGGTCGAACTGCCAGCGTATGTAAAGGACCATAATATTTTGGGAAATTTCGGGATTCAGGGTTGAAGTGTAAAGGTCGTCTTTACCTTTTTATCTGATAATCCTTGTCAACACTCTATCGGCTTCATATTTCGATGTTTTTCGATCAGGATCATTGTATTTCAGACATGTAGGAGTTTCGGGGTTGTAAGATCTACGTCATGATCACTGTTACTGCATTAAGAAAAATTCTGTAAAAACACGAGAGGCCTTAATCTTTGAGGAATTTCTGTTAAATCTCACGTCATATAAACACCATAATGTGAAAGACATGATTTGACCCTGTGTGTTTACTCCGACTATGAGCCGGTTAATGTCTTATGGAACCTTATTTAAGGTATATTTATTTATTGTTCTGCAACCTTATCCAATTTGTCTACCTGATGTATGTATCCGAAAATGCTCATCCGGTGTCCAGTCGTCATTGCCATGTTAACGCTGTATACCCTGCTGCTGTGTTTACATTATCTGTCTGTTGATCCTGATGCGTCCCATACATTGTCAATCCACTATTTTTGATGATGGCTGAATATAACTCCCCTCTAACCTCTTGTGAAGGGACACATCAGTATATTGGAGAATTTTATTGCATTGAATCTATAAACAACACTACATATCATTCTTATATTCATAAACTAGTACTGTTTCTTTGTAATGATGTACAACTTAATCCAGGTCCTAATCTTGACATTGTAATATCTCACCTCAATGTCAGATCTCTTAGATATAAACTTGATATTATTGAGGCTGAATTACATGATAGTGATATATTATGCCTAACAGAAACACATCTTACCCCTAATAATCTTGATTAAGAGATCACACTTAATTCATTCTCCCACAATATACATAGACTTGATAGAAGTACAGGACCAGGAGGAGGAGTCATTATTTACTGCAAAAATACTATACATAGTAAGAGAAGGTTAGATCTTGAAAGCAATGATGTAGAAATGATTTGGATTGAAATTTCTTCTAATAATAAAAGAGTATTGTTAGGTTGTATCTATAGGCCGGAATCTACTGTAGATTATTGGGATAAGTTAGACCACATTCTAAAATATACTTGTAATACAGGTCTTGATATTATAATTACAGATGATATTAATGTAAATATGCTAAATATACCAGAGAATCACACTTAAGTAGACTCTTAGTAAAGTATAATTTTGTAAGTTTAATTAATGAACCAACACGGATTACTGAGACAACTGCTACTGCTATTGATATATTGTTCACTAACAACATAAGTCTAATTAGAAATACTTGGGTGAATACTCCAATATGCAGTGACCATTGTATTGTTAACTTCTCTTGTTGTAATTCTGTATTCAAAAAGAAATCATATTTGAAGAAAATACTAGTTTATGATAGAGCAGATTTTGATAAGATGAATAGAGCGATTGATAGTGTTGCTTGGGAATTACTGACAGAAACTCATAATTGTGAGGAATTTAATTGTATTTTAACAGAAATCATTATCAAACAAACAAAATTATGTGTACCATGTAAACTTATAATGGTCCGACCTAATGATAAACCCTGGATGAGAAATAATATCAAACTCAAAATTAGACAGAGAAATAGAATACATGCAAAAGCTAAATCTAGTAATTTTGCCACAGACTGGGCTAACTTTAGACAAATTAGAAATGAGGTAGTGGATCTTGTTAGGGAAGCTAAAAAAACATATTTTATCAAATTAGATGAATCTCTCCAAGACAATTCTATTCCTGCTAACAAGTGGTGGAAAATTGCTAAGTCAATAATGAACTCTAATAATGTTTCTACCTCTTTACCACCTCTATATGTAAATGATCAGTATGTCCATCATCCATTTGATAAGGCTGAGTGTCTAAATAATTATTTCTTTTCGATTTCAGCAACATCTGAAAATCTGGATCCTCTACCTCAACCTGATAGTAACTTCCCTTTTAAACTAGAAAATATTACCATTTCTGAGCAGGACATTAAAGATCAACTTCTCTTACCTAATGACAGAAAACTTCCTGGTCCTGACAATATGATACCTAAAATTATAAAAAGATTAACCCCCTCATTTGTACGCCCTCTTACTCTTCTTTGTAATAAAACTTTTGAAACAGGTACTATACCAGCATCTTGGAAATCAGCTGACGTTAATGCTATTTATAAAGGGAAAGGCTCTGAAAATGATGTATCTAATTATAGGCCTATATCTATCACATCTTGTTTTAGTAAAATTATTGAAAAAGTAGTTTTTAAATATATGTTTAATTACCTAAAAGATTGTTAAGTAATTACTAAGCATCAATCAGGCGTTTTACCAAAAGACTCTACTGTAAATCAATTATTGGAAATATATGAAACTATTATAAGTAATTTGGATAAAAATAATGAAATCAGATTTGTATTTTGTGATGTTAGCAAAGCGTTCGATAGAGTTTGGCATGAAGGCCTAATTTTTAAATTAGAATCATATGGTATAAGTGGTAATGTTTTGAATTGGTTTAAAAACTATTTGTCTGATAGGAAGCAAAGGGTACTAACTGAGGGTTTTCATTCAACATTTAAACATGTAAAAGCTGGTGTCCCTCAAGGCTCAGTTCTTGGTCCATTCTTATTTTTGGTTTATATTAATGACATAACTGACTGCATCACAAGCAAGTTGAAGCTGTTTGCTGATGATACATCAATTTTTGAAGTGATTGAAAATAATTCTGGTGAAATTGCACAGAAATTAACCTATGACTTAAGCAATCTAAATATATGGGCTAACAGATGGGATATCAAGTTTAATCCTCCAAAAACAGAATCTTTACTTTTTTCAAGAAAAAGGGAACAAATTAATCCTGATATACTGTTTGCAGGTGATTCAGTCAGCTCTGTCAAGATTCATAAACATTTAGGTTTAACTTTTAGTAGTGATGGTAAATGGTCTCACCATATCACTAATATATACAATAAAGCCTACAAGAGAATAAATATTTTGAGAATGCTTAAACACAAAGTAGACAGGAAAAGTCTAACAACTATATACACTTCCTTTATTAGACCAATTTTAGAGTATGGGGATGTCATCTGGGATAATTGTACAAATCAGGAAAAAAACTTATTAGAATCAGTTCAGTTAGAAGCACTTAGGATAATTACTGGGTTAAGAAGGGGGACATCTCATTATAAACTCTATACAGAAACTGGAATTGAAACTCTTAGTAATAGGCGAAGCCAACATAAACCTCTTCTTATTTATAAAATTCTGGGAAATGAAACTCCAAGCTACTTACGTAATATTATTGAACCTTTTGTTTATACTAATGAGAATGTAAGATAGCCTCTAAGAAATACTCGTTTATTCAATCCTCCTGTTTGTAGAACAGAAAGTTACAGAAATAGCTATTTCCCATCAACTCTAAGTGATTTTAATATGCTCCAACCTGACTTAGTAAACATTAATTCAATACAGAAATTTAAGAAATTATAAAGCCCAATGTAAATAATCAAACAGGTGCCATTAAAACTTTTAAATACACAGGACCTAGAAAATATAATATGTTATTATGCCAGCTTAGAAACAATGCTAGTAACTTAAACTCTGATTTATTTAATGACCATTTGCTTGACACTTCAACATGTATATGTAGTCATGAAACTGAAAATGCTCGGCACTTCCTACTTGAATGCCCATTATACACTGACTATAGAAATCGGTTAATTCAAAATATAGCTGAAATAGACATACACCTAGATCATGACCACTTAAACATTGAAACTCTTTTGAATGGTTATAATGGTATGTAATGCTGACATCAATTTAGCCTTACTTCATATAGTATTTGATTATTTCCATCTTACTAATAGATTTAATGTATAATTTCTCCATTTAATTTAATCTTTCTCCATTTAATCTTTATCTACGGATCACTGAAATAATACCTGATGTATGTAAATCAGCAATATCAAGCGTTTTAATAGCATTTCTGACTGAAATTGATGAGCATTTTGAAAGTATTTTTTGAATGTATTCTTTAAATTCATGATTGCTACTTATACTTATGTAGTAGTAACTAATTTGTTAACTTATTATATACTATGTTAAGAGGACCAACTCCAATATAGATGAAAAAAACTGAAATACCATTTTATAAACCTCTCAAACTTAACCATGATCTTACCTATCAACATAGTAAATGCAGAATTGTTGATAAGTTATTATGCATATCCTTGGGTGGATGGTCGAGGTGTTTATACACATGGACTTTATGACCTGAATCCCTGGATTCTTGCATGGTAAATTAACAGTAAACCTGTATTATTTCAACTTATTTATAATCCTATGAAAAATAATCTGACATAATGAACTACTTCACGTTCCACAATAAAGGTACAATGCACAACTAGGGACCAAGGGGAACCTGCATATGAAATTTGAGAAAGATCCATCCAGTACTTTTCCAGAAATAGCAGTAACAAGAATTGTTTACGGACGGATGGACGGAAGGATGGCCGGACCACGGACCACGGACGCAGGGCGATTTGAATAGGCCACCATCTATTTGAATAGATGGTGGGCTAATAAAAAGATCTTCTGTATTTGTTTAGGTTTGCATGAAACTGAAATGATATCCATGTTTTCTACTAAAAAAGCATGTCCTGTAGTAAAAATGTCAAAATTAATAAATCAAAAATAATACCTGATATTTCTTTGTCTTCGACATTGCATAAGCAGTGAAATAGATTAAATTCAACATGATCAATGTCACAATGTCAAATGTTTTATCTCTTTAAAACTTTAGAATACTTACAATGCTTTAGATAATTACTTAATTATCTGGGCAGCAAATATGATAAAAACTCCTAACTCGCATCAAGTACAGACATACGTTGCACTGTAATCGGGTTTCAGCAAAACGAATAATAGGAACCCAATTCACAAATGCAAAAAAAACATTCTGAAATATTTGTTAAATTCATATTTAGATTATTTAGATTAATATAGAATACCATTTATTTCAGAATAGATTAGATGAATAATACTATATCATTTTTTAATGTTGCTTTTTTGGTAGATTAAAGTAATGGTCCTTTAATGAGGAGGCCTCCACGTGGCAAGGACTGGAAACAGCTTACGCTCATTATTTTAGTAGGCTGGCTGATATCCTCATGCAATATGTTGAACTTTAGGAACAATGATAAATCATCATTTTTTTTATTTATTTTTCAAAATTTTTGCATGATACCTAAAAATAACAAGATATGACACACATACCAACATTCACACATCATCATCATCATCATCATCACAACAATGTAAGAAAATTCTATAGACATGAAATAATGGGATACATTTCACCCGAGGATGAATTCCTGCATAGATCAAACACCAGACTTTATTTTATACTTATTTAGATGATATGAAAATATGCAACTACGTCTAAAGTCTGGTTTTCAGCTAGGCACAGCTAGAATGTGACATTCTGTAGCTCCGAATTTTTTAGTCAGCTTTTAGTATTACTTTTAGTTTCGTATTTTTACTGCACTTCCGGATGCTGTTGTTGACACTGGCAATGCATTTACTACAATGCTATACTATTTCTAAATTAATGTTTGTCTTGTTTTATGCAACTCATACGGAATCTTGATATTTTTCCACGCATAAAACATGCCACTATTTCTTTGAATCTTCGCTGGGCATTAATAAGTCGTAGTTATATTTTTCGCAAGTTTGATTTTCAAGACTCTGTGACATACCTTTAGCCATAGTTTTACAGTTTGACAACACTGAAAATACACAGTATTTGGTTTCCATGAAAAGTGCTATTTTAGCAGGTCGGTATCCATTATGTACTTTAGCAGGTCGGTATCCATTATGTACTTTAGCAGGTCGGTATCCATTATGTACTTTAGCAGGTCGGTATCCATTATGTACTTTAGCAGGACGATATCCATTATGTACTTTAGCAGGTCGGTATCCATTATGTACTTTAGCAGGTCGGTATCCATTTTGTACTTTAGCAGGTCGGTATCCATTATGTACTTTAGCAGGTCGGTATCCATTATGTACTTTAGCAGGTCGGTATCCATTGTGTACTTTAGCAGGTCGGTATCCATTGTGTACTTTAGCAGGTCGGTATCCATTGTGTACTTTAGCAGGTCGGTATCCATTATGTACTTTAGCAGGTCGGTATCCATTATGTACTTTAGCAGGTCGGTATCCATTGTGATCATACTGCTTGGAATGACCATGGACATGGATGGCCATTCTTATTCTATGGTAATTAAAAAAAAATTCACAATGGAAACAAATGTGTGATATTACTGTTTCAAGTGAGCTGGATGGTACCATCCGTATGGCTAAATTTATTGAAAATTCTACATGGATAGCCTGAATGTGTGTATTTTATGTTTCTCTGTCATATATATGATAATATGGAGGAACTCTATCTCAATATAATAGTATGTTTATTATATTCCAAGTGTTTTAGACACTTTATTATGTCAGGGCTCTCACACCCCATTTTGGGTCTGGGACCTGGGGCCCTTAGATTTGGGGAAAATAATGGTGTTTTCCTTAGAATTGGGAGAACTTGGGATTTAAATTGGGAAAAAAGATACTATTTTGCATTGGGTATTCGGCCCCAAATCTGGCAGATCGAGAGCCCTGGATGTGTACATTCTATTTTATAAGGAAAGGGCGTTAATAATACTAGCATTACTTGTGTCCAACCCTTTCGTCTTTTGGTACTGAAATATTTGAACATTTACTTCACAAATTTCCTTACAAAATTCTGCTTCAAATTAAATAGAATACTATAAATTTCTGTGTACAGTGCACACTTTTTTTAGGTTAAAAGTGTCTTGTCAAAGCGGGGGTGCATACTATACACAGGAATATGCGATTCTTGGGGTTATTCTTGAGTTCTCTGGTCCGCCATATTGGACTACCTCCTTCACCTAGTTAGAGACTGAAGATAAAAACAACAAAGAATAAAACAAATTTTGAATGTTTTAATGCAAATAAGTTTCATTATTATTTATATAAAGTAAAGAAACAAAAAGTTTGTGATAATACTACAAATTTTAACAGAACAGGTTCCATAGTACTTACACGAATGGAACAGTAGACCGATAACTCCATAGAGCACTATGTAATTATAAACAGTTCATCGTACTGAAGTCACTTTGCACCAATCACAAACACAGCCACTGATTACTAAACAAAAATCCTTCAAATTCCTCATCATCGTCACTGTTAAAGAAGAATGCTGCATTAAAGTCTGCCTCTATAGTATTCCCATTGTCATGTTAAGAGGTCATCATCCATCATCCTCTAAGTCAACATCAATGGTCACCATGAGACTTTGTCTCAGACAGCCCAATAATTAACGGTCAAATTCAAGGTGATCACTTTTCAGCCATTTTGCTTTTTTAAACAGCACAAAATTCAAACGGCCTAACTACAGACCAAAGGGAAAGATATAAGAGAAATATTCCTGCATTACTTCAAAAAATGATAGCAAGGATTGTTTATGGATGAACAAATCTGAGATGAAGAGCAATTTGAACAGCTCACCATCTCATGATGGGCTAGAAATGTCTAAATGTTCACACCTGAAGCCTGATGAACATCATTTAGACAAGATCGTAAAATATGACAACACAGTGTCTGCAAGGACTAATAATATTTCATACAAGCAACATACTTTAATACTTGAACTGTGTGCTACGCAAAGCTCCATGTAGATCCAAATTATGGGAAAAAAAAATTTTAAATGGCACTATTAATGGCAAAATTATTTAAGTCTAAATAATAAGAAATTTTAGTTGAAAATCAAAATCTGAAATGTGTATTTAGATGTTAAAGTAGATTCTATGTTTCTTTATGACAGATTATTATATACTTGGTTAGAAATTTAAGCTCAATGATGAGTTAAAACAATTAACTCTAAACATGGTACAAGTTATCAATTAAAGTCCAGTTAACAGGAGTAAACTGCTGGTGGAAACTAGAATTTAAAATGTGTGTTGGAATGGCCATACAGAGATATACAAACACTCCAAATTTGGTTTATGAAGACTGCTTCGGTCTTTAAACTAAAAGGTATAGAAATTATTTTATGTGTCCAAATATGCAATAAAAAATATTTCATTTAAACTAAATTTAGAAACATCTTGGTCATGCCAATAATAATTCAATAGTTGTTTTCCTATATTTCTATATTATCTACAGGAATTCCATCTTTAAATGAGCGCGAGGCAGCCATGAACTCGTATATGCAGTCAACTACACAACCACTTCTCCAAAGGAATTTGGATACTGTGGTGCCACATATCAACGCATCATCACGAGTCAATCGCTTTATATGCGAGGATCCTACAACTGCAATCCTAACCTTCTTTTTAGAAAAAAATTCTGCTTTTGAATTCGCTTTACAAAACGAGAAATAGAGTTTGGCGCGAAAGGAAGTTTCAAGACTTTCGGAATACTTTAATTTCGTTCGGGGAGAAGGATGTCTCTGGAGTATACCAGTTACTTTCAAGGTATGTTTATGCCAGCCTTCTGTAGTGTTCTGATGGGCTGACTTGAAATTTACGTTATTTGTATGATTAAAATGGTAACCGCATGTGAAATTATGTGGTTTTTTAAATTAGGTATTGTAAACTGTATAGTACATTTTGGCGCGATAAAATACGAAACTAAAGAATAATACTAAAAGCTGACTAAAAAATTCAGAGCTGCAGAATCACGAGGTCTTCCGATAGAACACATCATTCCGAATAGAAAATCCGCGCTGAGTTTCAAAACAAATTACGTAATCAGCTGATAGCTTTCCTACTCGATGACAGAGAGTCGGTAAGATTGTTATAAGTCGCATCGCTTTTGTTGGCATGTCATTATATTTACAGCAATTGATATCAAAATCTTGTGATTAGAATGATAGCATAATAAAAGTGAAAAAGCTGCTAAAATCTGATGCAAAAGCACGAGTTTCATGCGAGACCCAGTTTACATAAGTTAAGGTAGATCAATTGTCACGTGCATGTGCATGCTAATACTTTTATCTGTGCTTAATTATTACAACAACAAAAAAATTATTCACGAAAAATCAATGCAAACAATTACTGTATAGACAGGTTCTTTGTCCGAATTTGCTCTGGCTTTTCACGAGACAGCCAGACGTGCATGGTGTCTGGTCACAGATTTGGAGATGCCAATAAGTTTTAACGTGATCCACGTCACGAAAACCTCACTCGGTTGGGACTGATACGTGTACACAACACTTATTACAAAAATACCAATAGTCATCTCTTTTTATGTTAATTAATAAGTTGATATTTGCAAAACAGATATTCAAATAAATACGAAATTAAGTTTTCTTTCCCGTTTTACTTCAGGCAACAAAAAATGGCAAAGAGGTCAATCCATTGGTTTAGGAAAGGTCTCCGTATCCATGACAATCCATCATTGATTGCAGCCTGTGAAAATGCAGTGGATGTTAAGCCAATCTTTATCCTCGACCCCTGGTTTTCTGAAAATGGCAATGTTGGCATCAACAGATGGAGATTCCTCCTGCAAACTTTACTTGACCTAGATGCCAATCTGAAGAAAATAAATTCGCGGTAATAAATGAATATGTGTCATTCCGCACCACAACTGTTCCACATCAGTAGTTTTATACCAAGCACTTGGTCGTTATGTACCAAAATTGTTGGTCAGTTCGTACCAAAGCCAAGTTGATATGTACCACTATACATCCTTAGCAAACAAATTCTGAAGTTGTTATGTGCCAGACAACGATTCATGCCCAATCTTTAACCTTTTTCTATACAACTTTGTTAGCCTGTTGTGTAACATGTTTATAATTGAAGCAGCATTGTTGTTGTTGCTTCCCATCAATCAGGTTTGAAGATGCTAGCGAACAAAAGAAAATTTTAACTAAATTGTTAGGAAGACATAAAGATATCATCAACATTGCTATCTGTGTCAAGAATTTGTTTTTTCATCTAAGGCATTTAGATTATACATGCGCTTCATGGACAAGAATAACAATAAGTAGTCAGTAGTCGTGATTAATTCTGTGGAATATATAGAATACATATCAATATAATCAGCAAAAATACTGAAAAATGCATCTATTTTGTTTAGTTATGTGTCCAAATATAAAATTTGGAAATATGTATCATGTGGTACAAAGTGATTTATTTCATTGTACATTATCAACAAAATAATGGTATGTATGGACTTTTGTACAAAATGACTGGTAGAAACCAGTTGTGGTATGGAAAGACAAGAATAACAGTGCTATTGCACACCATCATGTACATGTATATGCTGTGTAAATGAAAAATATACTTGGTTTGATTTGTAGTTTTATTTACGATCTTACGCAGCAGCTGAAAGACAGATTAATAAAATCAATTATTTTTGAATTGATGATTTAATTTTGGAAGTTACTTTGATTTTTTTTTTAAAACTTACATTGTCAGTTTTAATTTGATTTAATCAGATGTGAGGAGAAATAAATCTGATCCTTATTACATTTTGTCCTTGTAACAAACCCTTGCTTCAGTTGGATAAATGCTTGATAAAGGGACACCTGAACTAGCAGGGTATGCAGCAGTGAGTTTTGGGACTTATCCTCATTTTAAAACTTGCTATTATATCACTGCTTAAGAAGTCAGGAAGGTTTTGAAAATTATCTTCAGGACTTGCCCTTAAAAAAATCCTGAGATGGATTGTAGGGAACTCTTTTCAGCAGGAGGTGTCAAAGTAAGGTAGCATGAATCCTTAATCCATTCAAGTATTTTTCAAAAGTAGGAATACTTGGCATAGTATGTTATGTTAACTAATCATGAGAAGAACTTTTCTGATATTACAGGCTATTTGTGATCAAAGGGAAGCCACAGGAAGTTTTAATTGATCTGTTCAAAAAATGGAATATTACAACTCTAACCTATGAATTGGACACAGAACCTTACGCGAAACTCCGAGACGCAGATGTTGATGACCTCGCCAGAGAATGTGGAGTTGAAGTTATCAGATGTGTGTCCCATACCTTGTATGACACAAAAAGGTAAACCTGTAATGTAATCAGATCATGTCAACTTGACCATGTACCTGATAACTAGCTGTCCAGGACTCCAGGGGAAGGTCTTGTTGAATCTTCCTGTTTTTCTTTGTGATGAAATCATAGAGATCCATCAACTAAAACAAATCTTTCCTACCCATTTTTGAAATTGCTATCAGAAAACCTTATCTGTTCCTTGTTTTGGAGATGATTTCTCAAAATTCTAACCCATAGTCTTGTTTCCCTTTATGCTCTGATAAATTAATGCTACTACACATTTCACTTCAACAGGTAACTTTATATCCTCTTCATTCTGAAAATAATTTCATGCCCTGCTATTGTATTGATTGGTGTATTAGTGTCTGTTTGTGACTTTGGTTCATATTCACCTCATAGAATCATAACAACAAGTTCTACCCTTTATTAGATCGAGATCCGTAAAGCTTAAAAGGTCAAAGGTCACAGTTGACAATTCCTGCAAATTTGTCATACAGTAATACATTATGCTTTTCAGATATTGTCCACTTTCTTGTGCATTTGATTTATTTTTCACTTGTCAACACAACTTTGTCTTACCAGCACAACTTTGTCTTACCAGCACGACTTGGTCTTACCAGCACGACTTGGTCTTACCAGCCCAACTTTGTCTTACCAGCCCAACTTTGTCTTATTAGCACGACTTTGTCTTACCAGCACAACTTCGTCTTACCAGCACAACTTCGTCTTATCAGCACGACTTTGTCTTACCAGCACGACTTTGTCTTACCAGCACGACTCTGTTTTACCAGTCCGACTCTGTCTTACCAGCACAACTCTGTCTTACCAGCCCAACTCTGTCTTACCAGCCCTACTTTGTCTTATCAGCCCAACTTTGTCTTACCAGCACAACTTTGTCTTATCAGCCCAACTTTGTCTTACCAGCACAACTTTGTCTTACCAGCACGACTTTGTCTTATCAGCACGACTTTGTCTTACCAGCACAACTTTGTCCCACCAGCACAACTTTGTCTTACCAGCACAACTTTGTCTTACCAGCACGACTTTGTCTTACCAGCAGAACTCTTTCTTACCAGCACAACTTTGTCTTATCAGCCCAACTTTGTCTTACCAGCACAACTTTGTCTTACCAGCACAACTTTGTCTTATCAGCACGACTTTGTCTTACCAGCACAACTTTGTCCCACCAGCACAACTTTGTCTTACCAGCACAACTTTGTCTTACCAGCACGACTTTGTCTTACCAGCAGAACTCTTTCTTACTAGCACAACTTTGTCTTACCAGCAGAACTCTTTCTTACCAACACAACTTTGTCTATCAGCACAACTTTGTCTTATCAGCACAACTTTGTCTTACCAGCACAACTTTGTCTTATCAGCACAACTTTGTCTTACCAGCACAATTTTGTCTTACTCTGGTTGTACTTTAGAATCGTAGATAAAAATGGTGGATCAGCTCCTCTGACTTATAAGAGACTTCAGACTGTTGTGTCAATGCTTGGACTTCCTCCCAAACCTGTAGCAGAACCTTCAAGTAAGTGACCAGTAGTTAAGATAATTACCATAGGGACCCCACAAACCTTCCAGTAAGTGACCAGTAGATAAGATACTAACCATAGGGACCCCCACAAACCTTCCAGTAAGTGACCAGTAGATAAGATATTTACTATAGGGACCCCCACAAAAACCTTCCAGTTAGTGACCAGTAGATAAGATACTAACCATAGGGACCTCCACAAACCTTCCAGTAAGTGACCAGTAGATAAGATATTTACCATAGGGACCCCCACCAAAATCTTCAAGTAAGTGACCAGTAGATCAGATATTCTCACCATGGGACCCCCTCGAAACATGTACCCGAACTTTCTAGTAAATGACCAGTAGATCAGATATTTTTACCCTTGGGACCCCCTTTCAAAACATGTACCAGAACTGTCTAGTAAATGACCAGTAGAACAGATATTCTCACCCTTGGGACCCCCTCCAAAACCTGTACCAGGACTTTCTAGTAAATGACCAATAGATCAGATATTCTTACCCTTGGAACCCCCTCCAAAACATGTACCAAAACATTCTAGTAAATGACCAGTAGATCAGATATTCTCACCCTTGGGACCCCCTCCAAAACTTGAACCAGAACTTTCCAATAGATTACTGATAGATACCTACCTAAGGGAAAAGTCTCCACCTATTCCTATCCTTTACCAGAATTTTTCAGTTAGTGACTAGTATAATTACCTAGTATTAACTGTAGTTAGTGACTAGTATAATTACCTAGTATTAACTGTATGTTCATTACATTTCCTGTCACTTATGAGTATATATATGCACTATATTCAGAGACACATGTATCTCATTCTTTGGAAGAATATGTAGATTAAAATTGAAAATGTGATAATATCCTATTAGATTGTTTTAAATATTTTTCTCTCTTACAGAATGCCCAACTGCAGTATCTATGAATCATGACCAACATTACGGAGTTCCAGATTTAAAGAGTCTTCATAAAAATCCAAATGAATGCGGGCCATGCTTGTTTCCTGGAGGTGAGACTGAGGCTTTGAGCAGACTGGACAGAATGATGAAGAAAACGGTAAATCATATATTGAGTTTTCATCTCATACAAGACTTGCAAAAATAACAACTTCTTTGAACTGTTTTTTATAAGCTATTGTATGAAATGAATAATTTAAGATACATTTTATCACATCAAATTACATTTTGACGCAATCAGTTTTTTTTGTGGGGAAGACAAAATGAAAGGGAGGCAGCCATTGTCCATATTAGGACATTGGAATCAATTATGATTGGTGCAGTAGTAAAAAAAAAGCAACAATGTATTGCGGTATATTGCATTAGTGACATATATGCAGAAGAATGAATTCTCTGGACAACAGGTGGATTATGAGATAAGTAATTGCACAATACCCAAGAACCACAAAGTACCTTGTGAAATGTATACAATCCTTGAAATTTCGTATCAAGTTCCCATAGAGGAGGGTCTTATCAACTAACTGTAAACATTTTTATTTTGGTTACTGGTTTAGATAAGGGATATCTAAAATTTTATGTACATTTTGGAAATTTGAATTTTTCAAGGAAACAATAGCTATTATGTTTACAAATGGAGGTAATGATGTCATTTTCTCTATTAAACACACCACACATGATCTGGTCAATAACAGGACATGCCCTATATCAAATACTCTCCTCTTTTTGTGCATGTACCAGGCAATTCTAATTAATTGTGTAATTTGACTTTCTCTCATTTCTATCTATGTAATACTGGTCCGTCTAGGCTCAGGGTCACAGTTCTTGTATTACACATACATTCATATAGGGATGCATGTGGACGTGTCGCTTCCAAACGGACGTTGTCCCATGATTCAATGTGTACACATGTGTACCCATCATTATTTGCAGTGACTTTATATTTTGTTTTAATTTTCAAGGACCAACTTAGTTTGCCAAAACTAGGTACAGAGAATTCGTTTCTTATGTCAACTTATTGATTAATTGCAAAATAAGGAACATGATTTTCATGTAACATGGCCTCCTTTACAGTATATTGTCAACATTTGAAGCTATACTTCCAACAATTTAGAATGAGAAATAAAAACTTCTTTTTATACCTTGGAGTAAAGGATGGGATATTACGCATGGGAGGTCACATAATGTAGTAAAACCCCACGGCAAAGTCTCAGGTTTTACAACATTTTGTGACCCCTTGGGTGGAATATCCTACACCCCAACATATATCCTACACCCCAACATATATCCTACACCCCAACATATATCCTACACACCAACATATATCCTACACCCAACATATATCCTACACACCAACATATATCCTACACCCTACACACCAACATATATCCTACACCTCAACATATATCCTACACACCAACATATATCCTACACCCCAACATATATTCTACACACCAACATATATCCTACACACCAACATATATCCTACACCTCAACATATATCCTACACCCCAACATATATCCTACACACCAACATATATCCTACACACCAACATATATCCTACACCCCAACATAAACCTACACCCAACATATATCCTACACCCCAACATATATCCTACACCCCAACATATATCCTACACACCAACATATATCCTACACCCCAACATATATCCTACACACCAACATATATCCTACACACCAACATAGGAAAGAGTCTTTCAAGAAATACCAGGTATGTCGAATAGATGAATAAAGACACATGTTCTATTTATAGTTTAGTTTCTACTTTATGTTTTGTTCTTGCTGCCAAAGACTTCAGATAAGGTTATATATATATATATATATATATATATATGAAGGCTTGGTAAGGCGATGCCACTCTGTTTATTTCTATAGAGTTATGAGGCGATGCCACTCTTTTTTTCTATAGAGTTATGAGGCGATGCCACTCTGTTTATTTCTATAGAGTTATGAGGCAATGCCACTCTGTTTATTTCTATAGAGTTATGAGGCAATGCCACTGCTTATTTCTATAGAGTTATGAGGCGATGCCTATCTGTTTATTTCTATAGAGTTATGAGCAATGTCACTGTTTATTTCTATAGAGTTATGAGGCGATGCCACTGTGTTTATTTCTATAGTTATGAGGTGATGCCATGCTGTTCATTTCTAGAGATATGAGAAGATGCCACTGTTTATTTCTATAGAGTTATGAGGCGATGCCACTCTGTTTATTTCTAAAGTTATGAGGCAATGTCACTGTTTATTTCTATGGAGTTATGAGGTGATGCCACTCTGTTTATTTCTAAAGTTATGAGGTGATGCCACTCTGTTTATTTCTATAGAGTTACGAGACGATGCCACTCTGTTTATTTCTAAAGTTATGAGGTGATGCCACTCTGTTTATTTCTATAGAGTTATGAGGCGATGCCACTCTGTTTATTTCTATAGAGTTATGAGGTGATGCCACTCTGTTTATTTCTATAGAGTTATGAGGCGATGCCACTCTGTTTATTTCTATAGAGTTATGAGGTGATGCCACTCTGTTTATTTCTATAGAGTTATGAGGTGATGCCACTCTGTTTATTTCTATGAGGTGAGAGTTATGAGGTGATGCCACTCTGTTTATTTGTTTATTTCTATAGAGTTATGAGGTGATGCCACTCTGTTTATTTCTAAAGAGTTATGAGGTGATGCCACTCTGTTTATTTCTACTCTGTTTAAGAGTTATCTAAAGAGTTATGATGATGCCACTCTGTTTATTTCTATAGAGTTCTGTTTATTTCTATAGAGTTATGAGTCGATGCCACTCTGTTTATTTCTATAGAGTTATGAGGCGATGCCACTCTGTTTATTTCTATAGAGTTATGAGGCGATGCCACTCTGTTTATTTCTAAAGTTATGAGGCAATGCCACTCTGTTTATTTCTAAAGAGTTACGAGGTGATGCCACTTTGTTTATTTCTATAGAGTTATGAGGCGATGCCTATCTGTTTATTTCTATAGAGTTATGAGGTGATGCCACTCTGTTTATTTTTATAGAGTTATGAAGCGATGCCACTGTTTATTTCTATAGAGTTATGAGGCGATGCCACTCTGTTTATTTCTATAGAGTTATGAGGCGATGCCACTCTGTTTATTTCTAAAGTTATGAGGTGATGCCACTCTGTTTATTTCTAAAGAGTTACGAGGGGATGCCACTCTGTTTATTTCTAAAGTTATGAGGTGATGCCACTCTGTTTATTTCTATAGAGTTACGAGACGATGCCACTCTGTTTATTTCTAAAGTTATGAGGTGATGCCACTCTGTTTATTTCTATAGAGTTACGAGGGGATGCCACTCTGTTTGTTTATTTCTGTTTATTTCTATAGAAGTTATGAGGTTTATTTCTATAGAGTTATGAGGCGACGCCACTGTGTTTATTTCTAAAGATGCCACTCTGTTTATTTCTATGATGAGTTATGAGTTATGATGATGCCACTCTGTTTATTTCTATAGAGTTATGAGGCGATGCCACTCTGTTTTTTTTTATAGAGTTATGAGGTGATGCCACTCTGTTTATTTTTATAGAGTTATGAGGAGATGCCACTCTGTTTATTTCTATAGAGTTATGAGGTGATGCCACTCTGTTTATTTCTAAAGAGTTATGAGGCGATGCCACTGTGTTTATTTCTATAGACTCTATTTATTTTAAAGAGTTATGAGGTGATGCCACTCTGTTTATTTCTGTTTATTTCTATAGAGTTATGAGGTGATGCCACTCTGTTTATTTTTATAGAGTTATGAGGTGATGCCTCTCTGTTTATTTCTAAAGAGTTATGAGGTGATGCCACTTTGTTTAATTCTATAGAGTTATGAGGTGATGTTTATTTCTAAAGAGTTATGAGGCGATGCCATTTCTATAGAGTTATGAGGTGATGCCACTCTATTTATTTCTAAAGAGTTATGAGGTGATGCCACTGTTTATTTCTATAGAGTTATGAGGCGATCTGTTTATTTCTAAAGAGTTATGAGGCAATGCCACTCTGTTTATTTCTATAGAGTTATGAGGTGATGCCACTCTGTTTATTTCTATGCCACTCTGAGTTATGATGCCACTCCTATAGAGTTATGACTCACTGTTTATTTCTAAAGAGTTACGAGGTGATGCCACTTTGTTTATTTCTATAGAGTTACGAGACGATGCCACTCTGTTTATTTCTAAAGTTATGAGGTGATGCCACTCTATTTATTTCTAAAGAGTTATGAGGCGATGCCACTCTGTTTATTTCTAAAGAGTTATGAGGTGATGCCACTCTGTTTATTTTTATAGAGTTATGAGGTGATGCCTCTCTGTTTATTTCTATAGAGTTATGAGGCGACGCCACTGTGTTTATTTCTAAAGAATTATGAGGCAATGCCACTCTGTTTATTTCTATGGAGTTATGAGGTGATGCCACTCTGTTTATTTCTATTGAGTTATGAGGCGACGCCACTGTTTATTTCTATAGAGTTATGAGGCGATGCCACTCTGTTTATTTCTATAGAGTTATGAGGCGATGCCACTCTGTTTATTTCTATAGAGTTATGAGGTGATGCCACTCTGTTTATTTCTATAGAGTTATGAGGTGATGCCACTCTGTTTATTTTTATAGAGTTATGAGGTGATGCCACTCTGTTTATTTCTATAGAGTTATGAGGTGATGCCACTCTGTTTATTTCTATGGAGTTATGAGGTGATGCCTCTCTGTTTATTTCTATAGAGTTATGAGGTGATGCCACTCTGTTTATTTCTAAAGAGTTATGAGGCGATGCCACTTTGTTTAATTCTATAGAGTTATGAGGTGATGCCACTCTATTTATTTCTAAAGAGTTATGAGGTGATGCCACTGTTTATTTCTATTGAGTTATGAGGCGATGCCTATCTGTTTATTTCTATAGAGTTATGAGCAATGTCACTGTTTATTTCTATAGAGTTATGAGGCGATGCCACTCTGTTTATTTCTAAAGTTATGAGGCAATGCCACTCTGTTTATTTCTATAGAGTTACGAGGCGATGCCTATCTGTTTATTTCTATAGAGTTATGAGGTGATGCCACTCTGTTTATTTTTATAGAGTTATGAAGCGATGCCACTCTGTTTATTTTTATAGAGTTATGAGGTGATGCCACTCTGTTTATTTCTATGGAGTTATGAGGTGATGCCACTTTGTTTAATTCTATAGAGTTATGAGGTGATGCCACTCTATTTATTTCTAAAGAGTTATGAGGTGATGCCACTCTGTTTATTTCTAAAGAGTTATGAGGCGATGCCACTTTGTTTAATTCTATAGAGTTATGAGGTTATGCCACTCTATTTATTTCTAAAGAGTTATGAGGCGATGCCACTCTGTTTATTTCTAAAGAGTTATGAGGCGATGCCACTTTGTTTAATTCTAAAGAGTTATGAGGTGATGCCACTCTGTTTATTTCTAAAGAGTTATGAGGCGATGCCACTTTGTTTAATTCTATAGAGTTATGAGGTGATGCCACTCTATTTATTTCTAAAGAGTTATGAGGTGATGCCACTGTTTATTTCTATAGAGTTATGAGGCGATGCCTATCTGTTTATTTCTATAGAGTTATGAGCAATGTCACTGTTTATTTCTATAGAGTTATGAGGCGATGCCACTCTGTTTATTTCTATAGAGTTATGAGGTGATGCCACTCTGTTTATTTCTATAGAGTTATGAGGTGATGCCACTCTGTTTATTTTTATAGAGTTATGAAGCGATGCCACTCTGTTTATTTTGATAGAGTTATGAGGTGATGCCACTCTGTTTATTTCTATAGAGTTATGAGGTGATGCCTCTCTGTTTATTTCTATAGAGTTATGAGGTGATGCCACTCTGTTTATTTCTAAAGAGTTATGAGGCGATGCCACTTTGTTTAATTCTATAGAGTTATGAGGTGATGCCACTCTATTTATTTCTAAAGAGTTATGAGGTGATGCCACTCTGTTTATTTCTAAAGAGTTATGAGGCGATGCCACTTTGTTTAATTCTATAGAGTTATGAGGTGATGCCACTCTATTTATTTCTAAAGAGTTATGAGGCGATGCCACTCTGTTTATTTCTAAAGAGTTATGAGGCGATGCCACTTTGTTTAATTCTAAAGAGTTATGAGGTGATGCCACTCTGTTTATTTCTAAAGAGTTATGAGGCGATGCCACTTTGTTTAATTCTAAAGAGTTATGAGGTGATGCCACTCTGTTTATTTCTAAAGAGTTATGAGGCGATGCCACTCTGTTTATTTCTAAAGAGTTATGAGGCGATGCCACTTTGTTTAATTCTAAAGAGTTATGAGGTGATGCCACTCTGTTTATTTCTAAAGAGTTATGAGGCGATGCCACTTTGTTTAATTCTAAAGAGTTATGAGGTGATGCCACTCTGTTTATTTCTAAAGAGTTATGAGGCGATGCCACTTTGTTTAATTCTATAGAGTTATGAGGTGATGCCACTCTATTTATTTCTAAAGAGTTATGAGGCGATGCCACTCTGTTTATTTCTAAAGAGTTATGAGGCGATGCCACTTTGTTTAATTTTAGAGTTCTGAGGTGATGCCACTCTATTTAAAGAGTTTTGAGGTGATGCCACTCTATTTATTTCTAAAGAGTTATGAGGTGATGCCACTCTGTTTATTTCTATAGAGTTATGAGGCGATAACTTTCTTATGTGGATATTCACCAGCATGAATATTTTTGAGCGAGTTTCACATAGTGCAAATCCGGGTTATAGTATGGTGAATGTTGGACGGCCAGGCAGGCGGGGAAAATGTGTACCAGTTTTGTAGAATCAACTCCTCCTAGAGTTTTCGACGTAGAAGCTTAAAACTTTGTAGGATGTTTATATATATGTTGAAGATGAGCACCTCCTATCCTGGATTCATTTCGGACATTTTTCTATATTTTCCGGGCTTTGGAACTTGGTTATTTTCCACAGTTTGGCAGGGAAAAGGGGTACCAGTTTTTAGAATCAACTCCTCCTAGAATCTTTGACGTAGAAGCTTGAAACTTTGTAGGATGTTTATATATATATGTTGACGATATGCACCGCCTATTATGGATTCAATCCAGACATTTTTCTGGATTTTCCGGGCTTTTGAAGTTTTTCTTGTTATCACAGTTTCTCAGAAACTACTACAACAATCTTTCCGAAATTCCACATATAAATCACCTTGGGGCCCTAGATGTCCATTGTCTATTTTTTGAACATCTCCAAATCAAAAATGGCTGCAACTTCTTCCTTCAAATTCCCTTCTTCTGCATCGATTCATAAAATACAACCAAACTTTCTCTCTTATTAACAAATATTCTACATACTCAACAAATGAAACACCCTTAACTGTCTTAAAAATACCATGTAGCATTGCACTCATCCCGCAACCCGGCCAATTGTGACTTTGCCCCATTTTGTTTTATAATCAAATACTTTTTTTGCAGAATTGGGTTTGTACTTTTGAGAAACCAAAGACAGAACCTAACTCCCTACAGCCAAGCACAACCGTCTTGAGCCCATACCTGAAGTTTGGATGTCTATCAGCTAGAACTATGTATCACAGACTCCATGAGATTTATAAACAAAATAAGGTATGTATCAATTAAATATGTGCTCTCATCCTTCATCCCACCTGAAGTATGTAGGAGTGTTTTCACCCTATAGTATCATAACATGATATTCTACACCTTTTTCATCTTAAGATTATAATCATCAGTCAAGGTTAAAGAATCAAAGGTCACATTGGGCAACTTTTGCATATCCTTCACGGCATGGTACTTTATTTTACAGACATTTTCTAGTTATGTATAAAAGATGATGAAGGTAAAAAAATTCACACAGTACCAAGTCATGCCATAGATATGTTGATATGTTTCAAAATCTAGTCCAACCACTTTTGCCTTTAGCAAAGCGTGAACAAATGCTCATTATTGAGAGCATAGTTCCAGATGAATGGGTCTATGATTACCTTCCTCTCATGTAAAATTTGTGTATAGGAAATATACACAATTAAATTCAAAGCTATTTTGATACTTTGTTAATGGGCCCATGTCTTCCTTTGTCAGTGTTCATGATTGAGAACTTAATTGAGTCTGGAAAACTGAATTTCTTAGGTATTGAAGAATTATTTTTGTCATTTTATACTTGTATTTGTCGTTGCTATAAATGTTTTCTTCTCTTGAAAAATATTGCTAATTACTAATATGTTATTAAAGCAGTTACTTATACCATTATATGTGTTAAATATCCAGTGGCTGAGTCATCATTTTATTTTATTTCTTTAATATAGTGAACATTGTGGAACTCTTTTTTGGTAGGAGATATATATCATTTTAATATAGCATATACCCTTAATGAAATGAAAGATGAGATGTATATCAAGGCAAGATTACATACACCCTTAATGAAATGAAAGATGAGATGTATATTACATGAAGATTACATACACCCTTAATGAAATGAAAGATGAGATGTATATCCAGGCAAGATAACATACACACTTAATGAAATGAAAGATGAGATGTATATCAGTGCAAGATAACATACACCCTTAATGAAATGAAAGATGAACCAGCTGCTATGGGAATGTTTTCGTTGCAGAAACACACAGCACCTCCTGTTTCACTTGAAGGTCAGCTCTTATGGCGAGAATTTTTCTACACAGTTGGTTCGGTCACTCCAAATTTTGACCAGATGGTGGACAATCCTATCTGTATACAGATCCCCTGGGATACTAATGTAGAGTTCTTAGCTGCATGGAAACAGGTGACCATTAGGCACTAAACACGTTAACAGCAATGTTTTCTCCCTGCTAAAAATTCATATCTGCATTTTATAAACCACACTCTTAAGTTTGATAAAATACCACTGTGTAGACTATATGGTGAAATCTTGTTTGTCCCCTTTGAATTCTTATCCTCTGTCTGAAAACAATTTACCTGAATATTTCTTACAAATTTAGATAACTATATGAATGGTATATTTTACCTCTATATCTATCAATTCACCCTCGCATCCTAGACATAGTTTGAAAACATGATGAGATTGACCTTGAGGCAAGAAAGATCCTCTGAAAGAAATCTTAGATACTTCATATTGTAAAATAATTAATTTTCATTGCGTTTTGTTTTGGTTGATTTCATGGGTACCCTTTATCAACAAAGTCATGTTTCCTCAAAATGATAAACAAGTAAAGAATGCATATTATCTTAGCACAAGTGGATTTAGTGGGTACTATTTATCTGCCAAATCAAATTTCAACGAAAATGTATTTTAATGGAAAACAGCAAAATAAGAGGCCCTCAAAAAATATGATTTACCAGTAAATGATCATTAAACATTGGTTAAACATGGGTAATTCTTTTCATGGATTTGTATTGCTATTCTGCGAAAGAAAAATGACAAAAATAGCAAAAGGAGAAGGAAAAATGGAGAAAATGTCAATCTGATGATTGTGGCAACAACTGATTGTTTGATAGGTTGAGTTAATTAATTAGCATCTTTGATACAGATTGTGACGTGTGGTCCTTTCATCCTTCTGTCTGTCCATCCAAGCTGATTGGGTTGAGCTATATGTACTGTGGTACAGAGTCTGTCCTTTCATCCATCTGTCTGTCCCAGTTGATAGTTTGAACTAGCTTTAGTGCAGAGTCTGTCTGTATCTGCAGCTTATCTTATATTACCTGATGACCAGTAATAAATGCCCACTGGATTCCTAGTTCCTTTTTTTTTTTTTTTTTTTTTTAGTAAAGTTGGAAATTAAAATGCAGGAGATATCCCTTCCCCACTTTTATTTGAGGACTTAAATTTTATAGGTCAATAATTTTTCAGAAAAATTGATAAAAGTCCTTTAATTCCATTGTACAATGTCATTATTTTCTGAAGTCTGACTTTAGGTAGTGAACAACTTCAGAACTCTTCAGCATTATATTGATATGTTGTGATTGTTGACAGGGAAGAACCGGCTATCCTTTTATTGATGCCATCATGACACAGTTACGAGAGGAAGGCTGGATCCATCACTTGGCAAGGCACGCTGTAGCCTGCTTCCTTACTAGGGGTGATCTGTACATCAGCTGGGAGGAGGGGAAAAAGGTACATTTTACAACTACAGAATTTATACATTTGAAGGTTTCATTTGTGATACTTACTGCTAAAATATTGCTTGTCAAATGCTTGTTTGTTTGAATGCTGGTTTAATCATCCCATGATCAGCTAGGGTCATTTTAAGTGGATTTTTTTCAAAGCAGCTGGTAGTTACCCAACTGAACAACATACAGAAGATCCACCACATGCTATGTATATGTTTTTATTCATTGAATGGTTGATTGGTCAAGTGATTGACATTAAGCTTACTTCAGTATAGAATCATTGATATGTTAAAATTAGTAAAAAGTAGGCCTCTCCCCATTTTTAATCTGATTGTATAGTCCCACTATCCAGTCCAATGGCATGTATCAACTCCTTTGTAAAATTTACCTCAAGAATAGGATGTATTTTATGTAATGGGCATATTGTTTCATGGATCAAACCTTCACCACTATTCCAAGGATGAAAAATTTCATGGATACCATTGCAATAACAAAAGATTATACACTATTTTTCCTACTTTGTATTACTGCCTATGGTAATTGTTTTATGTCAGGTATTTGAGGAATACCTACTGGACGCAGACTGGAGCCTTAATGCAGCTAACTGGATGTGGTTATCTGCTTCCTCATTCTTCTACCAGTACTTCAGAGTCTACAGTCCTATTGCATTTGGTAAAAAGACTGACAAAGATGGCAGCTACATCAGGTATAGGAAGAGAGAATGAATGATTGATTCTATTACACATAAAATCCTACTGTTTTGACAAATTAAATTTGACCCATAAATCTTGTGTGTGACATTATGATTTAATTAATACTATCTAGTAGTCTACATTTAGTGTTCAAAGCCTACAAGATTTTGTTCCATTTTTACTCTCCTATTTATACCAGGTGGAAAATTCATTTACCCAACAGCATGCATATAATTGCTGTTACACAAATATACAACAGCTTTCATCACAAAATGAAACAAATCCTATGACAAATAAATTTGCCTTATTTCTTTCAAGCTTTACAGCTTTAAGGGGGAGGGGGCTAGGTTCCCAAACCAGGGGACAGAGTGACTTACATATTTCAAGATCCACATCATAGCTCTAGAATGCTTAGGATTTGTGGAGAACACAAACAAATTCCAAAACACAGCAAAAGCAAAAATCGTTATAAGGGCAAGAGTAGCTGTTGAAATGGTATTCACACAAAATCTATTATAAAACTTTTTTGCTTATAAATCTGTATAAAATCTTAATCAAATTATGAAAAAAATAATTTTTCAAAAAACTTTAATATCAGGAAGTATTTGCCAGTGTTGAAGAACATGCCAACACAGTATATCTACGAGCCATGGACAGCTCCACTGAAGGTTCAAGAAAAAGCTGGGTGTATTATTGGCAAGGATTATCCCAAACCAATAGTTGAACACGATAAGATTCGCCCTATCAACATTCAACGCATGGCTCAGGCATACAAGAACAGGCCAGACAAGTCATGCAGTGGTGAGACAAAAGGTAATGTTTATAGGTCCCAAGGGAGACAGTGGTGAATCCCAAGCTGATGTTTATAGGTCCCAAGGGAAACAGTGGAGAGTCAAAAGGTAATGTTTATAGGTCCCAAGGGAGACAGTGGTCAATCGCAAGGTAATGTTTGTGGGTCCCAAGGGAAACAGTGGTCAATCCCATGGTAATGTTTGTGGGTCCCAAGGGAGACAGTGGTCAATCCCAAGGTAATGTTTGTGGGTCCCAAGGGAGACAGTGGTCAATCCCAAAGTAATGTTCATAGGTCCAAAAGCAGGCATTGGTCAGTCACAAGGTAATGTTCATAGGTCCAAAAGGCAGGCATTGGTCAGTCACAGTGTAATGTTCATAGGTCAAAAGGCAGGCATTGGTCAGTCACAATGTAATGTTCATAGGTCCAAAAGGCAGGCATTGGTCAGTCACAAGGTAATGTTCATAGGTCCAAAAGGCAGGCATTGGTCAGTCACAAGGTAATGTTCATAGGTCAAAAGGCAGGCATTGGTCAGTCACAATGTAATGTTTATAGGTCAAAAGGTAGGCATTGGTCAGTCACAAGGTAATGTTCATAGGTCCAAAAGGCAGGTATTGGTCAGTCACAAGGTAATATTCATAGGTCAAAAGGCAGGCATTGGTCAGTCACAATGTAATGTTCATAGGTCAAAAGGCAGGCATTGGTCAGTCACAAGGTAATGTTCATAGGTCAAAAGGCAGGCATTGGTCAGTCACAAGGTAATGTTCATAGGTCCAAAAGGCAGGCGTTGGTCAGTCACAAGGTAATGTTCATAGGTCCAAAAGGCAGGCATTGGTCAGTCACAAGGTAATGTTCATAGGTCAAAAGGCAGGCATTTGTCAATCACAAGGTAATGAAGGGAGACAGTATTAAGCCACAAGGTTAAGTTTATTGGAAGTAGAACTGACAAACCAAAATCAGTGATCTGGAGGATTATTACATTGAAATCACCCTGTCTAGCCTTGAATCAAGTTTATTTGAAGCAGTGAAGTTTAGGTCACTGTATCTCTATAACAACATTGAGCGTTATTCTGACCTTTCACCTATAATGTTTACAACTAGGTTGACATAACAGGCAATGTAAGTCCTATGTTTTATTGTAATCAGGTATTCCAACCTTTATAAAAGAAACCAAAATTTATTTTCAAATGAACTACATTAGAACTTTTCATTTTCTCTTTAGGGAAAGGTCAAAAGAGAAAACCTGAACTGAAAACAGAAGAAAGGAATTCAAAGAAGGCCAAAACAACCAGCAAAACAAATAAAAAGATCACAGACTTCATGAAAGAAGGAAAATGAATCGCTCGATGTCAGTACCAGTTTATAGAACAAGGACTGAACTGTTAAGATTTATGTTTAGTTTGATAAAGAAACAAGAACTGAACTGTTAATGTGTCTGTTTAGTTTGATAAAGTAACAAGAACTGAACTGTTAAGGTGTCTGTTTAGTTTGATAAAGAAACAAGAACTGAACTGTTAAGGTGTCTGTTTAGTTTGATATAGAAACAAGAACTGAACTGTTAAGGTGTCTGTTTAGTTTGATAAAGAAACAAGAACTGAACTGTTAAGGTGTCTGTTTAGTTTGATAAAGAAACAAGAACTGAACTGTTAAGGTGTCTGTTTAGTTTGATAAAGAAACAAGAACTGAACTGTTAAGGTGTCTGTTTAGTTTGATAAAGAAACAAGAACTGAACTGTTAAGGTGTCTGTTGAGTTTGATAAAGAAACAAGAACTGAACTGTTAAGGTGTCTGTTTAGTTTGATAAAGAAACAAGAACTGAACTGTTAAGGTGTCTGTTTAGTTTGATAAAGAAACAAGAACTGAACTGTTAAGGTGTCTGTTTAGTTTGATAAAGAAACAAGAACTGAACTGTTAAGGTGTCTGTTTAGTTTGATAAAGAAACAAGAACTGAACTGTTAAGGTGTCTGTTTAGTTTGATAAAGAAACAAGAACTGAACTGTGAAGGTGTCTGTTTAGTTTGATAAAGAAACAAGAACTGAACTGTTAAGGTGTTGTTTAGTTTGATAAAGAAACAAGAACTGAACTGTAAAGGTGTCTGTTTATTTTGATACAGAAACATGAACTGAACTGTTGAGGTGTTGTTTAGTTTGATAAAGTAACAAGAACTGAACTGTTAAGGTGTCTGTTTAGTTTGATACAGAAACATGAACTGAACTGTAAAGGTGTCTGTTTAGTTTGATAAAGTAACATGAACTGAACTGTAAAGGTGTCTGTTTAGTTTGATACAGAAACATGAACTGAACTGTTAAGGTGTTGTTTAGTTTGATAAAGAAACAAGAACTGAACTGTAAATGTGTCTGTTGAGTTTGATAAAGAAACAGGAACTGAATTGTTAAGGTGTCTGTTTAGTTTGATAAAGAAACATGAATTGAACTGTGAAGGTGTCTGTTGAGTTTGATAAAGAAACATGAATTGAACTGTGAAGGTGTCTGTTTAGTTTACCAAGTAAAAGTAAATAAAAAAATTTGTCTTGTGTTTTTTGCTGTATTTCTTATTTTATCGTTACATAATGCAATATTTAATTTTTATTTACAACATTTATTTTCATCTCTCAGAAAATAAGTTTCACCAGAATACAAAATGCATTTGAAACTTATCATTGTGTGAGGACCAAATAAAAGACAAAGACGTGTCTTTAAAAGATTTATACGGTAATAAAATAAAAACAGAAAATAAAATTTATCCAACATTTTAATAATTTTCTTCACAATTTTAGTACAAAAATGATGAACTTTGTAAAACATAAAAATATAAATAACATTGCAATATTACACAGTCAAAACACATACATCTGAAAGAGGTCAGGTTTTTAACAGTCAAGAAAGCTTTAATCTATGATTTTGTAGTGTTTACGTTTCACCAGATTGTGATGAAGAATTTTATGTAGGTCAATGACTCTATCCAATATGATATAATTGCCAACCACAATAAAATCAAAGGCAGTGAAGCTGCAGTGTAAACGTACAGCACCAGTAAACACTACCTTTACCCAAAAACCTACACAGCTTCTATTCATGTGATTAGCCATGTGAAACGCATTATTAAATTGGGGCCCAGTCTATGCAAGGTCATTTTACAGACTTAAGCTCTGAATGAAACTATTCTATATGATTTCTCAAAACTTTGTAAAGCTATCTAGCTAGCAATGTAATTTTTCCTATGGAGAAAATTTCTCCATTTCAACACTTTTTCTTTTACCATTGAAACAGAAAAACTGAATCACAAATTTCACCTTTCAGAACCAGTGCTCCGAGACCATTCAAGATGAAGAATTGAAACTTGTTCTTAATCTAGTACTGTAGAAGTGCCTTTTTGCTATGATAAAGTTTTCTATTTAAATACTTTTTCTCTTACCATTGAAACAGATAAGCCTTATCACACATTTTAAATTTTCTGGACCAGTGATCTGAATCCTTTAAAGATTATTACTCGAATCTTCATACAGTTATTAATCTTGTACTGTAGAAGTGCATTTTGCTGTGGGAAAGTTCTCGATTTGAAAACGCTTTTATTTGCACAAGATGTCACACCATACAAGAGTAAAAGGTGATCCACATGGAAATATCAGTAACAGTGGTGGAATGGAGTTGATACCTGTTGCTGTGATATTTACATCTATACATAATTGAGTGTGTTTTATAAACAGTAAGGTGTGTGGGAAAATGTCTCATCCTGCATTATCTTGTTAATATTGCAATACACTACATGACCTATACTTGATTTCAAAATTGAACAAGTGACTTCTATAAGAAATGTATATCACACATATTGTTTATGATTTTTGCATGCAATTTTAGTATATTGTAATAATGATCATTTTTCCATTTAAATCATATTGGCATATGAATTGTTTGGTACAAATGGTTTTTGTGCCATTAAACAATCTTATCTGATCTTTGTGCCATTCCAAGATATTGTTGGATATTTGATATCTTTGTGCCAATACACAATGTTTTCTTGTACATTGTTTGGTACAATAGGTTTTTGGACCATTATACACTGTGCCATAACAATATTGTATGGCAATATAGGTCATTGTTCCAATACAATATATTGTTTGATGAATGACCTTGTACTATAGGTTCTTGTGCCATTACTCAATATTCTGTGGTACATCATATTGTACAATAGAGTTTTGTGCCATTACAAAATATTCTGTGGTACATCATATTGTACAATAGATTTTTGTGCCATCACACAGTATTCTGTGGTACACCAGAAGGTACTATAAATTTTTGTGGCATTACACAAAATTCTGTGGTACATCATAAGGTACTATAAATTTTTGTACCATTGCACACTATTGTGTGGTACATCATAAGGTACTATAAATTTTTGTGCCCTTACACAATATTCTTTGGTACACCATAAGGTACTATAAATTTTTGTGCCATTGCACACTATTGTGTGGTACATCATAAGGTACTATAAATTTTTGTGCCATTACACAATATTCTGTGGTACATCATAAGGTACTATAAATTTTTGTGCCATTACACATTGCTTTATGTGACAAGAACACCATTTTAATGGACAACAACTTAACTATTGCATGTATTGCCTCAATTTGTATCATCACTGCTGTCTGTTTCTGTATCAGAACTGCTTTCATCTGAACTATCCTTTCTCTTCTTCAACTTCTTTGTATTAACATGAGAGTTCTTTCCCTTGGTAGAATGTGATGAGAGGGAGCCACTGGATGGCTGTGTGGTGTGAACATTCTGTGTACTTGACACACGGTCTGTACTAAGCTTGCTGTTCCCAGTCGCTGATACTGGCCTCATCTTGGTTTTCATTCGAATAGTTGGGCTGAAAATATACAAATTCTATAGAAAAAGAACCTATTAAGTAATATCAATGGTATGATCCAATATTGGTACTTGATCCTATCAAACAAATGTTTTTTAGTTACATATTAATAAAATAGGTATATGATGAATGAAGTAATGATAACAGTAAGGACAAGCTAATTGCCAAATTTTCGAGGCATTCTTCACTAGACATATATCCATTACCAGACAAGTGTTGGAAACACTCCATGAGTACTTAACTTGGACCAAAAGTCAATTTAAATAAATTCAGCTCCAAAATAAAGAAATTTTTGTTATATTCAATTATCATTGCAAAAAACTAAATTAAACCTTTCATGGAATAAAAGAAAACTGTGCATTTTTTTTTTTAAAAATGAAAATTCTGCACTTTTTTTTCAAGTTTTAAATTGTAATCCTTGGTTTCTGAAAGGGAATACCTGCTTAGGAAGAAAATAACATGCTTATGACTATAAAGCAAATCAAGTTTGCAGACTGATAAATAAGGAGTGAGGCTTGAGGCAAACCAAAAGGTTAGTATATGCTATCTTATACACTCTTACTTACACACGTAATTATCCATTGTCAGGTGTTAAAAGACACGCATGAATTCACATACAAGTGGTTACAGAAGAGAAACAAGAAACTCAGGCATTACTATTGTAAACTACACCTGTTTTTAAGTTTGTTTACCAGGTAAGATTAAGCAATAAACTTGTTTATCTGGTTGTTATCTGTAATTAAAGAAGCCCTGAGAAATCTGTATATATTTATCCTAGGTCTGATTGTAACCAGTCTACACTGGCACCTGTATAATTCAGAATCTTGTAAAACATACATTCAACATTATTCTACAGCACACGTTAGTACGGAAATCGTGTTTGTGTAATGTAAATACAGGTTATAGTGTTAAGTTTGACAGGTTTTATATGTCAAATTAAGCATCCTTGAAGTATTTCATAATTGATAAAATGCATATGAACAGGAAATAAACATGAATGATCGTGTTTCATCCTTTCATTAAATCATTAAAGTTGTAAGAGCTGTAGAGTAAACTGCTCAATTTAATATGTTAAAAGTTCAGTGTATATCTCTAACTCTGAATGCAAATCATAATCTTTAAAAAGCTTGGAAATAAAATACGAAATTTAAAAACATACCGGGTATGTTATATCACATAATTACAAATTCAAATAGTTCATTGACCATTAAAATCATACTACAAAAAATCATGCCATGCTTGAGTGTACGAAATCACAAACCAAATTTTAATAGCTATAAACATGCAGGTATATAATACTTGATGCGGTTTTTATATTTCACATACATAACGGCAGACAATTTTACACTGCATATATCAAGGGAGCTCTATAAAGGGGGAGAATGTTCTATAGGAAATCTGAGGAAAATAAAACAATAATTTTCCAGTTTTTAATATTATGATCGGATCTACATAAATTAAGCAGATGCTTATTCGGAATGATATAATCTTTCATTCTTTTACTTTTTTAAACATCACCACTTCTAGATTTTCCAATAATATAGAATTTTACGACTTGAATATCTATATGGACTATTTACTTGAATGTAGAAACAATATTATGACGGATGAGTGTCTATTTAAATTACCATTTTAATTTGAACAGATATGAATAGAAAATACATATGCAATTTAAGTTCTGTTTTATTAGTAATCAAGTTGTGTAATCCATTTGCCAGCTGTTAATGTTAATTAATATTTAACACCTGTATTCTTGTTTCTATACTAGATATCTGTTGTAATCAATTATGGTTCATATCTACAGAAGGCGTTTATCCTTTTAACACAATTGGTCACGAACGATTCATCTATAAAGAGGAATATTGAGGTTATTGTTATGTTTTATTAACAGTCTGGGTCATTTAAGGTCATGCCATATTTGGGTGTTGGAGAAAAACTGGAGTTCCTAGAGAAAAGCCCTTGAACTGCTGCAAGCATCTGGTGACTGTCACATAGGCCTCAATCCAGTGACCCAGAGGTGGAGGTTTAGTGAGGATATCTATCAGGTGTTATCAAATTATTACTGATATCTGGGGGGTTGGGGGTGGGGGTGGGGGGTATCCAACATGGTTTATATTTACCGAGGCAGAATATCTAACAAGCAATAATCAAAGTTATGTCTGATATCAGGCGAGAGGAGATCTCATGTGATACTGATATATACTGTATGTAAAGAGAATTTGTGTATTCAACAAGTATTATTGATAATTATAATGAAACCAAATAGAGATGTGATGACATCACAATGCTGATGACATCATAACAATGTGAAATTATCTTAAAGATATATGTGAGCTAGGTGTGATAAGAATAATGACTTGACACAGGATAAAAAAACAAGAATACAGAATAGTAATTGTATGTCTACGTAAGCAGATTATAGACAAAGTAAAATTATTACCTAGATCTGATACACAGAAACCAACGTGCAATAAAGCATTAAAATATGTTAGTATGATACATACCAAAATAAAATGACTTATAGTTAACAGCACTGCCAGTGTATTGGTATATATTGGGATAACAGAGACAATTACAAGAGAGGGGGGATAAATAAAAGCAAATATAAAAATCTAGATAATAGAGATAAATTATTATACAAAATCAATAAATAAATAAATAAATAAATAAAGGAAAAATTTAAAAAAAAAAATATTTCAAATGTATCCTGACTCAAAAAGATTTAACATATTAACCGATGCATTTAGTTATATCTAGGTGTGTTAAATATATGGTGTATATCTAAATGTAGGTGAACTACCGGCTCCCATGCAATTTAACAACTGAATGAAGTCACAGAGGTCTGTACTGTTCTTAAATATCACCTCCAAAGGATATGTCTAGTTAAAGAGGGTTGGAAAAACTGTAAGGCTTACTCTGACAGAACATAAAGCATTGACATACCAAAAATAATGATACATCATCATTGTTAATTCATACAGACTGCAAAGTTTGTTATTTTCGAGGGCGCTTAATTTTCGTTAGTTTCAAGGCTTGAATAAAGTTGCAAAATATAGAGACATCCTAAAAATAATCATAAAAAATTAACGAGACAACCATTGTATGTTGCATTACGTTTGCAGAAAAACATCCTTTTTGTTTGAAATTTTTGTTGAAATGGCAAAAAAATTTAACCATTAAAGAAAATGACTTTGTCACCCTGGTGTCTGCACCTGACTAAATAGGAACCTAAAAATTGAACATTTACTTCTATCTCGGCAATATTAAATGTATGTCGTATGAATTTAGAAATTTTAGCTATTAACACAAAGTAGAATGAAATAAAATTTGATTTGATCCTGAACATTTCTAAACGTATGTAATACTGGTACATGTACATACATACTATTCATAACAAATTTAAATCTCCTCAATAGCTTTCATGATCAGTTCCAAGTTGGGAACATTTCAGCATCAGAATTCACAAAAATAAACCTTCACATGAATTTATGGACTGAAATTTTCATTTCACAGAGAATTCACAAGCTGCACTATCGTAACAGTGTTTTAGGAAGATGGAGTCTACAGAGTTTGAATTAAGGAGACTAACTGGTTCAATATCCACTATGTACATCACAAGACAGAATGTTTTGTACGGCCAGTTTGTGTTTTAGAGGACAAATTTTGCCCTCTGCAACTCTTTTGTGTCAGGGGCAGGATTACCAGTGTCTCTGCCTACATTTTTGTACTGTATTTTGTGAACAGACACATCTCTGAAAAGCGGAATATTAAGAATCAATAAAAAACCATAGCTGTGACTTCAACCTAACATTTTGGTACCTCCTGTTATCTACTGACATAACATGCATTAATACATCTACACATATATACTTTTAAGCGACACCAAAAATTAAAAAAAAAAAAAAAACTCTACAAAATCTTGAGAAGATAAATCTACCTCATTTTCCAAACCTTGAATTTGCTTCCTTTTATTTGCAAATATTTGTAAATATGCATGTGATATATCCGATACTTGCATCAAACTTAAGTGTGACTTTTTCTTTTTCCTGAAAAAATACGAACACTGTAAAGTTTATATATTGAAATCCTAACACTTAAATAATTTTGTTTTTTAAATTTCTTTCACAAAAAAAAAAAAATAAAAAAATCCCTGCTCTTGATTATCCCTTTAACAACAGATGTTTAATATAAAAAGATTGTTACAAACAAGTTTTTTTTCTCCAAACCTCCCAACCTTTTTTCAATGACTAGCTTGCTGTTATTTCATTACATAACTTTTCTGTTTCAAAGATAAGCCCATGTCATGCTTTGCTCACTTCTGTCATTAACAAGTTTCTACTGGTTTATATTTGTAAAACTCAGTCTGTAGTTTATTTCGCCTGCTACTGAAATTTTTCACAGGAAATATTGTCCTCCCCGCTTGAAAGAAAAAAAAAAAATAGAAAAGAAAGCATTCAGTTGAAGATGGTTGTACGATCTGAAAATATTACCTACGTACAAAAAGGTATTAACGGCATGAAATATACCCAGTAATCTTGCATGCATGACTTCATTAATAGCGTGTCAGATATGTAAATCACCTATATTGGTGGTGATCTATATTATATACAGTGTATATACATATATAATATTAGATTAGGTTTTTTTTTTATAAAATCTGTTGCTGCAGTATTTAGTTATAAGAGATAAGTAGGCAATTAACAAACTCAAGTAGTGAAATTTCAAGACAATAAAAATTTGCAAAGCAATGCTGCATGAGTGTCAAATTAGCTTTGGATAGCAGAGCAGTTAGATATATACCTGGCATGGGGATTTGGCACGGTCAGTTGAGGATTATTGGCCACAGTAGACTGACCACTAGGGTTTCTGTAAAATGGTCAACATGGTCACACAACATACACTTTACATAGGATAGATATATTTAAATGTACAATAGAGACAAAGACCATACCACACAGTATGTTGTTATCTATAGACAGGGCAGAATGAAAAACATCCACAACATCTATAGCTAAAAATTGTTGTACAGGGCAAATTACAAACAATAGTATATAATCACCTCAATATATATATATATATATATATATTAATAATAAAACGTTGGGGACAGATTAACATTGATCCAAGACAAATTAACAATTAATGACTAATTAACTTATGCTAAACATGTTTATGTATCAGTATACATGTAACTATTACAAGGTCAAAATCAAGGTCACACAAACAACATGAAAGTACGTGTTCAAATCCCACCGTCACCACTAAAGATATTCGGGCCAAACATGGATACACATACCTAACTAATTAAACAAATTGAAAGCGAATGAGTGTTACAGTGCGAACCTTCGAGAAAACCCTAACAGTTGGGCAGGTAACACAATAACTTTTCTCGTTCAATTGAGCACCTCAGTTGATAGGTAAAAGGGGAGTGTTTTATCACTGCTCCACCAAACCACAATACCAAGAATGTCCTTATGGACATCTGGGAAATTATCTTATAGTGATATATAACTTACCTCTCCTGGCTTAAAGAATTTCAAAACTACATAACTCTTTATTTCAGTAAAACTTTCTTATTTTATTTTAAAGCGTTGAAACAAAATTTTGATAATACAAAATGTAGATATATTGTACAGTAATAAAATCCATTGTAAGTAAAAAAAAACTTAAAGCTTTGTATAAAAAATTCTTGGTTAGGAATGAAATAAGCACCTCACAACACACCTGTAGAATTAAAAATGTATTTACATGTACCTAAGAGACAGGAATGTCTGATGTACACAAGGGATTTAGTACTAGCCTCAGTTAGCTAGATAGATAGATATTTTTTCTATCAACAACAATTTACACAAGGGAATTTCTAGTCTCAGATGGCTAGATAAAAATAAATTTTGCAATCAACAAGAATTTTAACATCAGTTTGCATACAAAATGTTTATAATAAGCATATCTCTTTAACAAACATTGTTTTAACAATAATATAGAAATGCATATACACTTTATTAGCAACTATTTGAGTTATCTACCTTGATCAAAGCCTCTTCTAACTAAACATGCAGAGTACTTTTATAGATTACTGTTGATTTTGAGATGCAGACAATATTTCTGAATAATTCATATCAGTAATGGTGGCCAGTATTATCAAATTTTCCTATAAAATATTTGATTACATCAAAAGATTTTCCCCAAAAAATAATAAACTGTCTTTGTAAATAGAAACAATATCTATTGCAGTCCATCCTATTATAAAACCAAATTCCTAAACCATAATCCTTTGTAACACCTCAAATGATTTGTCTGAATGTTCAGAGTCAAATCTGGGAGGAAAATCCTTTCTTTTTTCATTTTGGTCACACAAATAGAGCAGAAAAGTCATATATATATATATATATATCTAGTGTGTTTTTTTTTTTTTTGCAGACTGGTGACAAATATTTATTAACATATCAACTGAGCCTCTTCACAAAATTTGAACACAAAAGTTTTACATTGTAGAACACATAATACATGCACATAAATAAATATAAATGGTTACTACATCACAGAACTTGTTCTAAAATATATTGTTGTAAATATATCTGGTATGAATTTCACTACTTACATTATTGTAGAAATCAATTAACTATAGAACTGATGTAGATACCACATACTGCTGTAATGTCAATTATTTTTGTGGGCTCAAATATTCTGATTTTAGATTTAAGAAATTAACTCATGCTGAAAATATAAGTCTTTTTTAAACTATTTGATATTATGTAGATATATTAGTTTGAGGTTTAAAATTGATCACAAAATCAATGAAAATAAAATGCCCACAAAAATAAATAAATCTACAGCACTTCATAATATTGTAAATATAACAAAAAACATTACATTTTCTGTTTGTAAACATGGCTTTTTGTAGCAAATAATACTTACTGGAGTAAACATTATTAATATATGTATTTGATAACAAACATTATTCATTATTGTAAACACACTCTTTTTAATGAAATATGATGAAAATATAAGCTAAATATTGTTGGAGTATAGTGACAAGTTCATCACAGTTTGTGGCACAATAACAAATAAAGCATGTCTTCTAATTTGAGACCTGAGAGACGTGACAGATTAATGTTGACAGTCTAAGATAAGTTTGATATTATCATAAGATGTTATCTGATCATTTTTGTTTGTACAAACCAATCTTTAATGTGTTATGACTATGATTTATCATCATGATTGTCATTGTACAATGTATAATGTGGATTACAAATTGGTCAAAATAAAAACAGAAGCTGTAATTTGTCTGGTTTTGTTCCATATTTGTCACTATATATATATGTTTCATTATTTTGTTTCAAGTATTATGGAGATAAGGGTAAGAAAATAGTAATTCCAAAGTTTGAGTGTAGGACAGAGAAATCTCTACCCTCCGAGGGAACTCCCGATAGTCTAACTCTCTGCACAGCCAAGGTTTAGACTGTCCTACCCTTAAGTTAAGGAGAGATTCTATTAATCTCTTTAGACTGTCCTACCCTTAAGCTAGGAAGAGACAGCCAAGGTTAGGGAGAGATTCTATTAATCTCTTTAGACTGTCCTACCCTTAAGGTAGGGAGAGATTCTATCAATCTGTTTAGACTGTCCTACCCTTAAGCTAGGGAGAGATTCTATTAATCTCTTTAGACTGTCCTACCCTTAAGCTAGGGAGAGATTCTATTAATCTCTTTAGACTGTCCTACCCTTAAGCTAGGGAGAGATTCTATTAATCTCTTTAGACTGTCCTACCCTTCTAGGGAGAGATTCTATCAAGAGTTTATTCTATTAATCTGTTTAGACTGTCCTACCCTTAAGCTAGGGAGAGATTCTATTAATCTCTTTAGACTGTCCTACCCTTAAGGTAGGGAGAGATTCTATCAATCTGTTTAGACTGTCCTACCCTTATCTCTTTAGACTGTCCTACCCTTAAGGTAGGGAGAGATTCTATCAATCTGTTTAGACTGTCCTACCCTTAAGCTAGGGAGAGATTCTATTAATATGTTTAGACCGTCCTACCCTTAAGCTAGGGAGAGATTCTATTAATCTGTTTAGACCGTCCTACCCTTAAGCTAGGGAGAGATTCTATTAATCTGTTAAGACCGTCCTTCCCTTAAGCGAGGGAGAGATTCTATTAATCTGTGGGTCTAAAGACATAAAAATATCACACAGATATGGAGACTGTTGCTTCTAGGCTGTGAGAAGAAAGAAACAAAATACATATCAAATCTGAATTTCCAGTTAATGAAGCATATTTTTGTTTAATCATCTTAACGGAAGAAACATTTGGTCCTACTAATCAAAAATTTAACTAATTTAATATGATATATATAAATCAGCTATATCTAATCCTGTTCTTAAAGCAGTAAGCCAGAATTCTAAGTGACATCTTGGCCTTCTAATATTGTGACATTTGAATCATTTTCAAATACTATGAAAAAATTTTATTCAACACTGATTTTAATAAAGTTTCAAACTTTTTCTGGCACAACTAAATGAGTAGAGTCAGAGAAGGTTGATGAAATTGATTTCATGCTCAGAAAAAACTATCTTGGAAAACTATTCTACATATAGGCAGACTATGATACTTACTTGGCAAGTTTAACTGGTTGTCTGTCAATTACAGTAGAGTACATATAGCTAATAGTCACTTAAATCAACTTGAATGATGATAATAAGTTCATAAAAAATAGCAAAACATAGTTTTTAATTTTCATTCTATTGCTTAAACTTTTTTATGTTGATCTGAATATTTGGACCAAAAAAGTTCGTATCAATCAAGTACCGCATTTCAATTTTATTACCAGTTCTAAAAAATCTATATATATTATCACTGGAAGGGGTAAACATTCTACAGAATGCATGCAAATAAACAAATATACTATATTTACATAAAATCATCCCCCACTTCTATCTTCTATAATGATCTATCTAGGGGAGTTATTGCATTTAAAAAGTTTTTGAAAACTGGGTGTACAATTCTTGAATCTCACCATTTTTGCATGTTTTATACTCTCATTCGGAGGTAACAGTTACTGTATGATATCCATAAAATTCATTTATTGTTACATTTAACAGTCAGAGATGTGCAATAAAAGGATTTTAATAAATGTCTGCATTGTTAGCTTTGTATTTTACTATATATGAGGTGAGAGAAAAGACATCATCATGAAAGTCAATATAATGGTAAGCGTATGGGATTAACCCTTTATGTAGGACGTTTGATGGGAATGTTAGCAATTCCACAAAACTGCTCCATATTCAACCAGAGTTCTACATCTACATAGTACAATAGATTTGTTGAGTAAAGTGACTGGACTAGAGTATGTAAACTGGCATTATACAACACTGAAACACCGACGAAGATATTTCTGAACACAATTCTTCATTTCTATTGTCAAGGATCTGATATGGTATCTTCCAGATTTAAATTCTCATTATTTTGTGTAATTCAACTTAAACAGGATTTCATCTGCTCTAAGTTTAGCAAACACACAACATATGAAAAGAAATATGTCTAGTTTTCATTATATTTTTACATGTTTTTAACATTTCCTGAAATCAAACCTATTCTGCAAGTGGAGTCCAATTTTTTTAACATGCCAATGTAAAAACTGTACTGGATTATAAAAAAAATTATGAACAAAAATCTGTGTAGTTAACCCCCTGACCTTGTCTGTCCTAACTGACAAAGCACATTACATCAAGGACATTTTAATATTCCATGATTGATGGCAGCTACTTGTGAGTATGATCTCTGGCGTGAAAGAATGAAATCAATAATAAATTTAATGGGATTATTAAGTGGAATATATTCATAGTCAATACCAGTTTTTTCATGACCAAAGGGA